AATCTTTGGGTAATGTCTCTGTTCACAAGATAAGGAATAACAGAGTTCCAGAATGTCTACTTGACTAATTCAATCCCATACTGGGTCTAGTCCATATTTAGCATGTAAAACTACTAATAAATTAAGTTAATTATGTAAATCTACTTGAACTAATAATTAACATACCAAAAGTGGCTGTTGCAAACTCAGATATCAATTCTAAGATAATACTATAAATGAAATATTATAGTATAGAGAATTTCAAATTTAGGTTAAATATTCCTAAATTTTATGACCTGAAAAAGAACTTAAAATTATACAGGATAATTATTATAGGCCCTACTACAATAATTAACATGAATAATTATAAAGATTTCAAGGTAACATTAATCCATCTCAGAAGTAAATGCGAAGAGTAAACTACTATCAAGATATAACCTTTAATTTTGGGGATATACACCTATTCCAAATTTATAGCTTGTAAAATAAATATTCATAAGCTAATTATGTAATATGTAACAATTAGCCACAAAGGTGTTCTTTTGGCCCAGGATAAAAAATTGGTAAAAAAGAAAGATTCAATGCCGGTGAAAATATTGCTTGTAAAAAATTATAATACAAATGTATGAAAGAGAATTATAAAATACGAATGAAAATTATTATTTCAGCAAACAATATTTAGAATGTGGATAAAAACAAGTCTGGAGTGGCATCTAGGCTAAATAGACATGTGTGGGATTAAGTTGACAGCTAATAATAGAGTTATCAAGTATTCTGATTTGTTTCATACCTCTAGGCTAAGTAATCTTTATTCCTGCTAACAGGTGATCAACTCACTCACAGGTGATTAGATTCCGGAGGAGAGGATCAAGCTGTAGACAATTGAATTCATTGCAATTCAAAACAATGAATGCTACGGAGAACTCGAGAGGAAATTCAATGCTGGAATTTCAAAATTCCACTAACAACTGGCAGTAATTTTTAATGTTACCAGACTAATGCAAATGGTTTAAAATCAGATAAATCTGCACTCGTTTTCCTTGACATCGTCTTTCAAACTGATTAGGCAATTTTCAGCAGCAGTATAGCAATTACTGCCAATTAACATCATGGTTGCCAGAAAATTGTTTAAATTGGGTATAATTGGAACAATTTCCGCAAATGCCCTGCTGACAGAAATCCATAACAGAAGATGGAGACGAAGCAGTTTTTCATTCTTTTTTTTGTTTATTTGGGTTCAAATTTTGCTGATTCTTTAAATTGTATTTTAGGACAAGGTCAGGGTTTCCATACATCTGTCAGAATTGTTCTCATTTTCGGTCCCAGGTTAAATAGGGGCGTCCTTGCCCTCCCCTTGCCATAGACTCCCAAGAGACCAGATCAACTTTTCAAACCATTTTTAGAAGTTTAAAATGAGGCCTTGAGAAAGGTTTATAATTGAGTTTTGTTGTCTCTCATCTCCAGAGTTTACATGCAAGACATAAGCAAAGGTTTTTTTTTTCTGACTCAACAGTATATATTATTGATGTTCGGATAAATCTCTCAAGTGGCAATTTGTTATAAAATTACGTTGTTCAGGGCATTACTTTAACCTTCGAAAGTTATTGGATGCTGAGACAGACACAAATTATCCAAATTACAATAATTTTGAAAGTATAAATTAATAGTTTAATGTTCTTCATGATTGAATACGCCCTAGGCAGAACTCAACGAGGTCTAGGCCAGACCCATCTAGCCTAAAGTTGATATGTCTGCAGGTTACTTGCATTTTGTGGTCCCCTATATAGTATAATGTAATACCCTCAAACTCGACCCAATTTTTGTTGGTAGCATGGGGGTTAGCTAATACTATTAGAGGATCTATGGTATAAATAAACTGGAGATATTATGGCTTTGTGAAAGTTAATCCTATTCAGAATTGATAATTAGATTTGTCTAAGCACTATTATATGAAAGCTAACCAAGTTTATAGTTTGTGCCATTAGGTTTTATAGTAGCAAGACTTGTGGATCATGTATAAATGATAATCATCCTAATCACAGAGCTGTTGGAGGTCAATAGCTGCATACATTTGACCCAGGGATTATGTATGAATGACAAATAAAGACATCATCTACAAGTGAATGTGACCTTGATATGTGCATTCATTCAGAATTGGTATTAATTCATACTTTTTCTTTGTTTAGACATGCATTTTAGAAAATATACCATCTAATCTAAAAGCATGAAAAACTTTACAAACAGATTGACTATTTCCTTACGAAATCTGCCTGTCACAAAGAATTTGGTACTAAAGTGTTCCCGTTTCCGTAAGCGTTAAGCCGGAGAAAGCCGAGTATAATTACATATAATCCTGTAAAATCCCCATGGCGACTAGAAGTGAATACATTATGGAGCTCAGCCAAAGTCCTTAAAGCTTTGCAAATTTTAAGCATAACTCACAATTTCCGCGCCGATGGTCATGTGTTGCGTACATTTAAAATGCCTTTTTCTACCCCTTCTCTCATTAACTAAATTAATGTAGAAATTCATAATAAATCTTTCTATCAACACACTTTCGCAAGAAAATAAATAGTGATACATAAAATATGCAACACATTTTTACAGAACATACTGAAAATTGATTTTTATTTTAAATAAAAAAAGTGTTACTATTATTAATGATTCAAATAATTGTGTACTGGTTACATAAGTTTGTATTATTATTTCTACCATCATCATTATTATTGATAAAATAATTAATTAAAATTATTATTATTATTATTACTAATAATAGTATATTCATTAAGCTTTTAAATATTTAATAATTATAATATTTTCACTATCAACATTTTAACATTCAGAATATTAGTATTACCAGGTATTACTACCACTACCAGTTCTACTCATTACACTATTAATTATAACTAATAATTTTCAGTAATCATCATACCTTAAATATTGTTAGTTATTATTATTATTATTATTATTATTATTATTATACTACTATGGATGTACAGTATGCATGTGCATTTATATATGACAAAAACTTAAAGAAAATATAAATATTTTCCAATGCAATTTTACTGGGAAATATTTAAGCTCAAACATACGTGTAAGGTGTTCTGCATAATGCAGACCAAATAATACCATCACAGCTACCACCGTAATCATCATCGTTGTCATCACCATCAACAATATTAATTATACTTATTGTTATTGTGCAGCAACATTATTATTAAAAATAATTATGTCATTTTATAAGGCTCACTTGCAAAGAGTAGCCAGTTTTTTAATACTTTCATTTTTTCTATTTTGAAATTATTATTATTACTTGCGTACAAAAGATATTTACTTGAACTATAAATGATGTATGAATTTTCAAGTAATTTTAAATGTCAACCATGACAAGTGATACCCACAACATCATAATGATTTACACACTAAATAAAATGTGAATAAACTTTAGATTAAAAATATAGACAAAATGTCACTTCAACTTAAGGGGACCAAGTCTTATCTATCACAACCATCGTCGCCATTACTGTATTAGGCTATCATTACCTGCCAATTACAATTTACTAAGAATTACCTTATAAAAAGAAATGGACAAATTAAATGATTGAGATTATGAAAAGATGGTAAAATAATGGACATTATGGAATTTAAATAAATAGTGAAATAATTTAAGTTAATTTGAATAGGTGAATTTCAACATTGCTATGTATTGCAAGGAGCAACATATCTACATGTTTTTTGTGGTTTTCCACGCCAAGGTGATATGGAAGGCAAAAATTATTTAAATTGTTGAAGCGATGCAAAATATAATTACATTTTTAAGCAATATAAAAAGGATAAATATGATGGGTAAAATCATGCGCTCTATTGTTATTTTCAAGTGGAGTTTGTAAATCAAAATTTGAAAAACCAGATAAATCAAGGCACATAACTTCTTAACTTTTGATGCCACGTTGAAAAATATGCTGTATGCATAAACTGAATTATTGTCAATATAAATTACCAACAAGACAAATACCAGTTGAACTTAAATTTCATATACAAATACGATGCTGAGTACATGATATGGGCAGAGGAAATTTGATTTAATACGACATTGACAAGGTTAAACCTAAATTGATGGCAAACATAACTATGTTCAATTTGAGAGAAACTGACATTAGAAAACGTTTTAAATTTGACAAAGAATGCTAACAGAGGAAGCAGGCAAATACGACAGCAACGTACAGCCACCTGTCTGCGCATAACATTAGCTTACAAATCCCAGATGACCTACAGAATTAACTACTCAAAAAATTGTGAATTGTTCTACGAGGACACGCATACAAGATATGAGTGTGAAAAAGTTGAATTATTTGTGTAGAATGTCTCTATTTTTAATATTTTAGAGCGAGTACCTCTATTGGATATGGTAAACAAGTTGTAGAGACATTGGACGTATAGTACTGTACTTAACATTACAAGTACAAGTAATTAATGTTTAGACTATGAAGTACTTCGCCTAGTATGTATATGAGTGTGAGAAGACGTGTTGCCTTCTGCAGTATGGATGTGTGTTACCTATTGAAGTATGTATACAGGTGTGTAAACGTGTGTCATCTACAGTAGTGTGTACATAGATGTCAAAGATATGTCGCTGACTGTATGAGTATGGGTGTGTAAAGGTGTGTGTCGCCTACACAGGGATTAAGCTGTCTTTGCAAAAAATCGCAAAATCCGAATCTAAACAGAATTTGGCGAATTATTTCAATCGCAATTTGCCAAAAAGCTAATGAATAAAGTCATATCTGCGTGCACAGTTTTTTCGTTTCAACTATCATTAATGTGTTAAGTACATGGATATTGAGTAAAGAATCAATAAGTAAAATTTTACCTGTATGTATATGCGTATGAAAGGTCACCTACTGTAGTGTGGATGTTTAAAGGTACATGCTAGATACTTTTTCAGTTTTACATAGGCTTTACAAAATCATGTAAACCCAACTAAAACATTTGTCAGGTGGAGTGGAGTTGAAATGGAGAAACAAATATCATAGCAACGATGTGGGTAAAGAAAATTATGTTGTTTCTGGCCACTAGGTGGCACTGTTGAGGTAAACCTATACACAAAAATGGTTATGCTATTCACAATGAGCCATAGTAATATGTGTCAAGTTTCTTGTTTTAATCCACAATGCTGGATTATTGGATTTAAACTGACTGTAACAACTGACTACAATAATCTTTAACTTTGTAACCCAATTTTATGGAACAAACCAGACAATGGAAAATAGTATGCCATATTACTATCATATTATTATTATCTAGAAAGTAGTAAATTGACATTATATTTTAAAAATAAACCCTTTCACACTCAACCACTTTTCTCAAACAATAAAGTTTGATTAATTTCAGAAAAATGCCAAATGTTTTGAAATTTTTATGCAAGAAATTCAATTAAAAATAAAGTACATTTTAGGATGAAATTCCTGAGGTTTTTCTCATCTAAGAAAATAAATTGATTACATACTTTTTTGCTGCTCATAAGAAAAACAAGCGATGGTTATCATCTGGTCAATAAAAAAGGAAACCAATTTCATTAAATAATCTCCTGGCAACAAACTTGTTTGAAATTGTATAATTTCCTTTGAAACTCAATGTTGAAAAGTGTAAAGTGTCATTGAAGGGATTGTCCTAGTAAGGTCATCATAAAAAAAAAAAGAAAACAGTATATTAAACAAATATTCAATGATAAGCATTGACTGTTTCAATAGTTAATTCCCAGACAAGGTTTCTGGCAATACTGTTGGCCTCAAGTTAAATATGTGCTAACTGCTAATATTAAACACTTTATTGTATGTATAAAATAATATAGCAACCAAGTTCAAAGTCAATGCCAATTACCACACAACTCAACTTGTCTAATTTAGTTTCTTTTGAGAGATGACACATATTAAATCGTCTTATCACTTGAAGGTCGGGCCAACTTAATCGTTTACGATCTTTGCCAACGGTTGTTAACAAACAAGGTTTGTACCGCGCCATGTATCTTTTCCCAGTGTTTCTATTTTCCTTTCTGGCTCATCTTGAACCTTCATCTGAAGCTCGCCAGATTGATATTGGCAGGAGTGCGAGTAAGCCTGTTGAATGTTACGAGTAAAAGGAAATTGGGTCCGACCGTGAAATTGAGTTTGCGAATCAGTGCGCTAATTAAGTGTTCCTCATGGAAATCAGTAATGATGCGTGAAAACAACTGCAGTGTCAAGTACAACGTCAATTTCCTATACATCTGAAAATGAAACAGGATAGCTGCTGAATGGAACGGCTTGGAGAAGTTTGTCATCTACCATACCCCAAAAATAAGCACTTCTGCTCTTCTCTATCACCATAGTGCTGTAAAATCTTTCCATCAATCTTTTTCTAGTACCACCAGACAGAAATACTCAATTTCATTCAGTGTTCTTTATTATTATAGACGTTAACTTCTTCCTTTTACTACGTATATATCTTAACAAATCTTTCTCTGAGATCTACTTGTTGCTTTTCTCTAGCATTGCCTTAGTAAAACCTTTCCTTTCCTAGATTCTATTTTGGAAATTCTCCTACTAATATTACAAGGCAAAATCAAAATAAATTCTACTTCTCACAAGTGTGAGTTGTCCTTTAACATGGAAATCTTGTTGAGGTTGATACCAGCACATGGCTAGATGTTTCAATATTAAAGAGCAATATAATGACAAATCCTAATTACGCTAATTACAAGACAATGACTAACACCTACTGTAAACTTTAATAGGTTAAATGTGTATATAAACTTGATGCCAAACCTCACACCAATCTTGGCAGCCGATAAAAAACGATGGTCATGTGTGTGGGACTACGACTGACTAAAAAAAGTGGAGATATTGATTCATGCTACATCATCCCATTTTGTGTTCTGGTACTATCCATTCTTCTGCTCTATTTATACCATCTTCTCTGAGAAGTTTGCTTTTGTGAAGATTTGTGCAATAAAAAGTGGTTGTGAATTTTACAGTATATCTAGGCCTATCTTGCCATATTTTCACACACACACACAAAATTGAGTACAACCAACTTTCTGGTTAAAGGTCAGCTATATACTTTTATGGCCAAAAAAATGAACCCTGCGATAACTTACGTAAGCCAAATTCACTTTTTTTTTTGGGTATATATTTGTAAATTTGTACTAAAAAACTCTTTATTGCTAAGAATTATAAGGGTACTCTGTTTTTACATCTTACTTGAACAGGAGTAATTAAACTAGATATTAAATTATATTGTTCGTTGTTCCTCCAAACTTGATGGTAGGTTGTTTTAAGTTGATGCCTAAACCAACAATATACGCAAGTCATTAAAGTCAACAAGGTTATCAAATTTACATGATATTCAGAGCTACAAAATAAAACAATTTTTCAGCTCTTCATTTAGTTTCATCTTGATTTTGGTCCCTCATCAACTCAGTTTGATGATTAGTAAATATCTACCTATAATCCCTCCTCCCTCTCCCAATCCAATAGCAAATTCTACTCAACATCAATTACACTGGGGTTTTTTTCAAACATATTAAACATAATGTTAACATATTATTAGATTATTTCTTTCAAATTAAACGTTTACTTATATTAAAGATTTTTAGTGCAAACCGTTCTACTGGACAATGAAAACATGTTTTTAAAAAAATGATACCATTCACATGATATTTTTATGTATTTGACATAAACCGTTAACATTCCAGCAACCATCAGGGTTGATGGTTGGTATTTGGCCATGGGCTTCCCTCCCTTTCTCATCATCTTTCCTTTCTGCTGTGTAACATGGTGAGGAACTAGTAATTGGGGTCACTGAATCGTACGACGGTTACGATGGTGGTGGTACGACAACTCCAACTCTGCTCGTTGTGAGCGGTAGACGATGCAATGCTGTATATTAACTGTCCGTGGCAGTCTGAACTTTTCGTCATTAAAAACAATAAGTTGTGTGTGTGCATTGTGGCATTTCGTTCTTCAGGCCGTCAGGCATAGTGGGTGCGCTGGCTTTACAAACAGATCAAGATTTCAGAACCTACAATGACCTCACTGTTGTTAAGGAACTTTTCAACAAGCAGATCAAGATTATTCTAAATAATCTTTCTCAAAACAACATTCTCTTTCTATTCAATTATGTTTTAAAAAAGAGGCCTTTATCTGTATTCGTTAATACTGTACCTTTCCTTTTCTTTAAGTTAACTTGCATTTTCTATTTTGGTTTGGTAGTTTCCATTTATCTGCTTTCATCAGTTTTAGGCTATCTTACCATTGTTTTTGATTTACTTTACCATAATTACTTTTGTATTTCATGATTGTAAACAACTTTTGTTATATTTACTGTCTGTACCGGGGCTTCCTTGGAAAGCAGTGCTAGCAGGGATATCCCCTGGTTAAAGAAAGTTTAAATAATAAATAAATAATGAGCACTGACAAAAGATGAATAACGATTAATAAAGCTACTGGCTACAGCATACATTAACTATTAAAATATATCCAATTATTTTTATTATTATTATTATTATTATTATTATTATTATTATTATTATTATTATTATTATTATTATTATTATTATTATTATTATTATTATTATTGCAATACATCAATTAAACCTGAACTAAAAAAACTCATTCTATCAACATAACCTCTGTCTCTTATACACATCTAGATGTGTATAAGAGACAGATCCTTATATTATACAAGAAAAAAAGACATTAATTTAGTCGTAAAATATTGTTAATTTTAAAATTCTCTTGATAATATATTTACCAAATAAAATACATTGCATCAAAATTTGGAGTAGATTGGAATTTGTCTTGAGCCTGGTTTCCATAAAATCGCTACAAGCTATCACATTTCTGCTAAGTCTTGCCCCTTGGATATTGTTGCTAAGGTCCCACAAAACGACAGTGTTAAGCTCTGTCCAGATTCTAAAATGTTGTCTAGAGGGAGCTTTCAAACATGTGGTGGTGGTGTGGTGATTGACGCGACGCCGTGGCGTCGCGTCAATCACCACACCACACCACACCGACAATCACACCACACCACAATCACACCAATCACGCAATCACGCCACACGACACCACACCGACAATCAGCAGACGGCGCGCCGTCTCGGACTGTCGGTGTGGCTGTCTCTTATACACATCTAGATGTGTATTTAGATCCAGCTGTAGGGGGCGTCCCATTTTTCGTATTCCCACCATGCATTTCGGTGGAACACGGTGGAACACTTTTTTTGTGTGGAGAACTCTATCTTGTATTTCTAGTATCTTTGCTAACACCTACTGTAAACTTGAATAGGTTAAATGTGTATATAAACTTGATGCCAAACCTCACGCCAATCTTGGCAGCCGATAAAAAACGATGGTCATGTGTGTGGGACTAAGACTGACTAAAACAAGTGGAGATATTGATTCATGCTACATCATCCCATTTTGTGTTCTGGTACTATTCATTCTTCTGCTCTATTTATACCATCTTCTCTGCGAAGTTTGCTTTTGTGAAGATTTGTGCAATAAAAAGTGGTTGTGAATTTTACAGTATATCTAGGCCTATCTTGCCATATTTTCACACACACACACAAAATTGAGTACAACCAACTTTCTGTTTAAAGGTCAGCTATATACTTTTATGGCCAAAAAAATTAACCCTGCGATAACTTACGTAAGCCAAATTCACTTTTTTTTTGGGTATATATTTGTAAATTTGTACTAAAAAAACTCTTTATTGCTAAGAATTATAAGGGTACTCTGTTTTTACATCTTACTTGAACAGGAGTAATTAAACTAGATATTAAATTATATTGTTCGTTATTCCTCCAAACTTGATGGTAGGTTGTTTTAAGTTGATGCCTAAACCAACAATATACGCAAGTCATTAAAGTCAACACGGTTATTAAATTTACATGATATTCAGAGCTACAAAATAAAACAATTTTTCAGTTCTCCATTTAGTTTCATCTTGATTTTGGTCCCTCATCAACTCAGTTTGATGATTAGTAAATATCTACCTATAACCCCTCCTCCCTCTCCCAATCCAATAGCAAATTCTACTCAACATCAATTACACTGGGGTTTTTTTTAAACATATTAAACATAATGTTAACATATTATTAGATTATTTCTTTCAAATTAAACGTTTACTTATATTAAAGATTTTTAGTGCAAACCGTTCTACTGGACAATGAAAACATGTTTTTAAAAAAAATGATACCATTCACATGATATTTTTATGTATTTGACATACGGTAAACCGTTAACATTCCAGCAACCATCAGGGTTGATGGTTGGTATTTGGCCATGGGCTTCCCTCCCTTTCTCATCAGCTTTCCTTTCTACTGTGTAACATAGTGAGGAACTAGTAATTGGGGTCACTGAATCGTACGACGGTTACGATGGTGGTGGTACGACAACTCCAACTCTGCTCGTTGTGAGCGGTAGACGATGCGATGCTGTATGTTAACTGTCCGTGGCAGTCTGAACTTTTCGTCATTAAAAACAATAAGTTGTGTGTGTGCATTGTGGCATTTCGTTCTTCAGGCCGTCAGGCATAGTGGGTGCCCTTGCTTTACAAACATATCAAGATTTCAGAACCTACAATGACCTCACTGTTGTTAAGGAACTTTTCAACAAGCAGATCAAGATTATTCTAAATAATCTTTCTCAAAACAACATTCTCTTTCTATTCAATTATGTTTTAAAAAAGAGGCCTTTATCTGTATTCGTTAATACTGTACCTTTCCTTTTCTTTAAGTTAACTTGCATTTTCTATTTTGGTTTGGTAGTTTCCATTTATCTGCTTTCATCAGTTTTAGGCTATCTTACCATTGTTTTTGATTTACTTTACCATAATTACTTTTGTATTTCATGATTGTAAACAACTTTTGTTATATTTACTGTCTGTACCGGGGCTTCCTTGGAAAGCAGTGCTAGCAGGGATATCCCCTGGTTAAAGAAAGTTTAAATAATAAATAAATAATGAGCACTGACAAAAGATGAATAACGATTAATAAAGCTACTGGCTACAGCATACATTAACTATTAAAATATATCCAGAGAAAATCATGCCATCAGAATGATATCCATAGACCTAAAATAAATGTATTGCAATGATACAAAGGCTAGATCTGCAAGGATACTTGAAATAGTTTACTTACCCTGGTATCTTCTTCACTTTCTACATCACACTGAAATATGAAAGTAATTAAGTGTTAAGATAATGCTTATTCATTTGATCTTGATATTTTAATTACCTACTAAAAACTTTGTACTTGAATTTTATTGAAGTGAATTGTAGTGCCAATTGTTTACAAAACCAAAACCTTAATTGATCTACTATCTAAAGGCATAGCAACTACCCATAATATCTACATAATATGTAATGTAATACTAAAATGGTGATGCTAGAAGTCATAATATTACCATTATAATATTATATTACTTTTTAATATTGTATAAGAAATTAAAGTCTAGATCAGCTTTAGTCAAATGCAAAGCAGTCTTCTCTAATTTCCTTAATAGACAAACATGTAAATCGCTTGAATTAAAATGTGTTCTTATAATAGGTCTGCTTGTATTTTTAAAGAATGTTACATGAATTATGAATATTAAAAAACCTTCACAACAGAGCCGCATGCCTTCTCAATAGCGTACGGGAGAATAATAGGGAAATTACAGAATGTACTCTCTTCTTCCGGGGTCCCGGGGCAACATCCTGTCGACACAGGTGCAAGTCGACAAATTCTATCTATCGACAACAAGCAACATCATTGCTAACAATTGCCTAAAGACAGATATCATCAGATCCATACGCATGTGAACAATTTTAGTTTAATTTACAAAGAATCCTGAGATTGTAAAGTGCACACTCCTGTAATTATATGTAATGATGACAAATTGTGCACAAAATTCACATATCAAGTTATTGCCTCGTAAAATACGATATAAAGTTATAAGTAAATCAATTAGACTGTTAATGAGTTAGTCTCTCTGGAGGCTAATTTACAAGACAATGCTTTAATAGAATCACAAAAAATACAGCTAGCGGGCATGTTATTCACTTCAATTGTAAAAATCAATAGATTAAGTAAGAATAAACCATCCATGATGAGGTAAAAAAAATGAAAAATGAAATTCTATATTTGAAATACTTTACATATTTAAATGAATGACTTTTACTTTTAAAAAAAAACAAAAAAAAAACAACGTATGACCCTCACCCTTCAACAGATGCATACTGTATATATTACCGCTTATATTGCATTGATTTTTCAAATGCCTGGTAATCAATTTAGGAACATTTTTTGTAGTAAAATGTCTGTAAACTTGCAAAACTTAATTATTTTGATCTGTGTCGCATTGGCAGTTGATAAATTATTATTGTTTTTAAAAAAATAATCAGAAATTTTAATTCATTTTTTGAGGAATTTCCCACAATTTACTAGAAGGTAAACCTTTTGACAAACATTAAGGTAAACCTTTGACAAACATTCAAGCTATTCAGGTTGTCTAGACTTTTTACAATATAAAGTTTTGCCTCCATTTTCATTAGAATACTGTATACTATATGAAAAACCTCAACTAGACAACATTTTAACTAATTTAATTTTCTAAATATATCTAGCCATAAAGTTTTATGTTATTAACGCACAGAACAGATGCCCTTTCACCATTCGATATTAATTGCATTATTAAATATACCTTTATGTAATTATGTTTATCCTTTGTTATGACGGAGTTCATTCTTGATACCGAGACTAATTACTCTGGTTATTGAAGGAAAAGATATTGGAAATGATGCCCCAAGCAACGCTGCATGGGAAGTATACGTGTGGCTTATCTATAGGATGACATGAAACCTTATTGAAATTATTACCATAAATGTTTGGTCAACATTGTAATATTTATTCAGATGTAAATAACAGCCTTAGTTAAGAATGTTATTAATATTATTATTATTATTACCTGAAATCTCCCAAATTCAGGATATTTCTTAGATCAATATAAAAGCCAAGAAGAGATTACCTCAAATACTGGGCCTCCCAACAATATATAGAGAGTTGGAATATGGGTAATCTCATTTTAAGTACAGAAAAACTTGCACTCACATATTAGCCTATATACTAGAAATTGCAAATTGCAAGTGAAGTGCTGCGAAGTACAACTGCATATAAATGTTCTTCGAACAAAATTATTTATGCGAGACACGACCCATTGTCTATATTAGAACACTTCTCATTGGGTAACAAAGTTGTAATTTTTCATTTTTGTCAAAAAGTGTCTATAGTGGTGAATTATGGTTTAGGTTTTTTTAATAAAGTTTCAAAAATGTCTATGTATGTGGAAAATGTAGTTCATTACCAAAGGTTACAATATTTTGTTTTGAAGACTGCATGGTCTAGGAAGTGTACATTTTTTTATGGGCAAGTTTCCAAGGGCGGGTTTTCTAGGGGTGAGTTGAATGCCAAAGAGTGTTGCCGAAGTGCGAGCCAGCGTGTTATTTGAACACAAGTGCAAGACATCACAAGTGGGAGCCAGCGAGCCATGACGTCACGACAATAGATACGAGAAGTTAACGAGTTGTGCGAGGTATCGGCTGAGATTTGTGGAGTACAATTCAAAAAACATATATAGGTCTAATAATGAATTATTGTGACGTTAAATAGACAATGTTAGCTATCAAGGAGCGACGTTGTTTTTCATTGGGACCTTCGTCCTTTCAAGGCTAGGTTAGTCTACAAACGTCGCCTAAAGTAATTGATTTTACCTGGTAGAACGAAAGAAGGAAACTCCGCTTTTCAGTCGTCTTAGGCCCTTGTTTTTTGACAAACAATGACCTTTCAGAGGTCAAATTGCTGTCAAGAATATGAATTGGCTGCTTCGCAGCAATAACCTACAAAACCGAGTAGCCACAAGCCTGACCAAGTCAGAAAGTTCTTGCTGCTAGCCAAAATTCTAGGAATTCCAATTAAATTAGTCAAATTAATAACAAGTTTGCCAGTTCAAACCTTAAAGTCACTGAAAATTATTTTCCTGTCCTATATCTTGTAATGGATTACCTTTTAACTTGTATCAAACACTTTTTGTTAATGTTATTTTTATAAATAATTGGTTTTTTATTCTTTTGCAGGCTGTAAACTTAATAAATTGAATTTAGCTATAGAAGCATTTATGTTGGATTAGGCATATTTTCTAAATTGAAAACTTTACATGATTTTTGTCCTATATTCTCAAATGTTACTATTACATTACCTTTTAACTTAAGTATTAAACTTACTAAGATTTATAGTTTGTTAGTCCTCAGCAAGGTTTTTTCCCGACTGCTGTCCTCACAAGAGGTTTAAGAAACTTCGCTAAAATATGCATTTTATGCAAAGAATGTTACAACCAACATATTTTTGATATAATAAAATCACATAGAATAGAAAGGTTTGAGACTAATGTATTCTCTATGACCTGAAAATAAATTTGTGAATATTCTTATTTTTTTTTATCAATTAGGATAAAGAATTTATTGTCCAAATTGAGATCTCAAACTTAAACCCTCTTATTTTAATTCAGTTGCGCTGTTGAACTATGAGGCAAAAATTGTTATATTTTATTCCCTTGGATTTTCCTATAAATAGCATGATCTATCGTTAAACTAGGCAGTTGCTTATTTTACAGCAATTTTATATATTTATATAACAGCATCCATAAACATTTATGTACAGTATAATATCTTTTTATGATTCTGGTAATACAATAATAATACAGAAAATTAAAACTAGAAAATATTTTTGTCTCCACTCAGCAGGCGCTGTTTTACTTTGCACTAAAAAAAAAAATTTTTTTAAACTACTGTAGCTGTACATCAATGTATTGTAGTAGCAAATATAAGAGAAAAACTAAGATAAAATACAAAATTCAATTTTTTAACTTGAGATCTTTACAGATTATACTAGGCATTACAGTCATTGACTGTTAATCATACTTAGCTAACTCTTTATTGTTTAATGCCAAAATAACATTGTACCCTATCATGCAAGTATATTATTTCAACAATTTGGAACTAAATTGAAACTACAATCTGCATTATATGATAAGGTAGTCCTGGTGCTTTCAACCACCATGTCGGCAATGGAAACTGACAGTGACACAACAGATGTCTAGATTTTATTTTATTTTTTTAAGTTAAATGCCAAAAGGCATGATAATGAGGGTCTAGATTATCCATTGATACAGCAATCTACACTTAATATCTAATACAGAATTTTAAAAATAATTTTTCTAATCTCAATACATTTGTCATGCAATATCTACATATTTATTGTATTTTGTTAAAATATTATTATTTTAGAATTCTGAAGCACTATATATACATCAATGTATAGAATATTTAATTGTAAGTTTTGCCCTCGATCCTACCCAAAGGCAAGGTAATATCAATTCCCAAAGGTGGCCTATATAAAATTGATTTAAGAATATTACTGTAAAAAACTTTGGTTCAACCAACCTAAATATTGATTTACCTTTTTACGTGGGTGTTACAAAATATATTGCCATTACAGTGGAACCAAGGCATTTCATCAGGTGTCCTGATCGTATAAATTATAGCCATCTTAAAGATTATCTTTTGTGCCAATTTACGATCAAATTTTCATTAAAAGGATCTGAGAAGAATGCCGTAACAATAGCAAAATAAACTATTTTTATAGTTATTACAACCGCAGATGTTTGCTTAACAAAGAAATATATTTTATGATATGCATAACACCTGTTTCATGCTATTTCTTTATATAGCTTTTTCAAATTAAATCAAGAATTAACATGGACTAGGATAAGCCTAGAGAGGGCAGCAGATAAGTAGGAGTGATGAACATAAAATAATGAAGGCAGTTGTCAATTTGTAATACTGAAAACAGGAAATCGCCTAAGCACTAGAAGAGACAGCATCTAAAGATCTTCTAAAGTGCTAAGCTGATGAAGAGCTCATGCAGAGGAGACTTATCACGTATTAATTAACTACTTACCACCTTGTCTGTAGTCTTAGAAAGGGCGTCACTGAGATACTTTCTACGACTTATCTCACATATTCAGGCGATTAGCTAATTTAAATCAAATGATAAAATTACATATTTCTTGCTTATTTATATTTATACAAGGTGTCTTCAAATCAGGGTAGAGAAACAGCAAAAAAGTTATAATGCTCAGTTATGTCAAGTTTATGTTTCAGATTTCTGTTGTTTCTGAATGACACTTGGATTATTTTTTTTTTATAAACCAACCCGCTTTCGAAGTACGAAATCAGAAATCACATGGGGATGGATGGGGCCTTAAGTTTTCACCGTGAGGATTTGGAACTTGAGGAATCGGTGCATAAAAAATACTTTTTCTTTCAAGTAAGCTTCAGTTCTTTAATAGCAATATTAAAACAGCATAGTTAATAGGTTTTGGTACTAAGCAGTCTTCCGAAAAATGAAGTTTATTTTAACATTGATCCTGAAATACATTACCACTGATCTCTACTATAATAGTTGGATTGCTCATTAGCTGGTTTTAGTGAGGCCACCGACGCCATGTTGGAGGGCCTGAGTGACGTATCAGTTTCAACAAGTTTCTTTTGGCATTTGTTTAAATTATTGTTAAAATAACAATTCTTGCAAAACTTTTTAATAATAAATTTGAATTTAACGTAATGATTATTTTTCAAATCATATAACCTTGACATAGCTTTTTATGCAGTTTAATAAAGCGGAAGCAAAGATATTTGCGTTATTAGGATCGACGTCGCTATAACAATGCGAGTTCGATCGCGCTGTTCTACACTGCATAAACAGTCGCGTCTATTGGTTAGATGGCTTGAAAAAATTCCTACGCTAAATTTTATTTATTATTATTATTTAAAGTTTTGCAAGAATCATTATTTTTAACTATAATTTAAATAAATTCCAAAAGAAACTTGTCTAAACTGGTACGTCACTTAGGCCCTCCAACATGGCGTCGGAGGCCTCACTTTTTTCTGTACAAGGATTCGCCAATGAGCAATCCAGCTATTATAGTAAAGATCAGTGGTAGTTACGCACGTATAGATGGAGACTAGCGAGGCAGGATTAAACGTTTTTTCATGGCATTATGTACCAGTTATTATAGGCTAGACATATATAAATGCCGACATAAAACATGTAGTATGATTTACTAACTAAATTAAAATATATATTTTTTTTAATTTCTCAGCAAACAAGTGTGGATCTTGCAAGTTGCAGTTACTTTGAAGAGTAGTAAATCAGCCATAGCCTCTAATATTCCAAGCACAAACCAAGCAAAGCCTTGTTGACTGCTGCCAAGAGTGCACTACTAAATAAATGCTAAATAAATAATATTAATATTCATAAATTTATATTTTAGGCCAACTGATGTAAACAAATGTAAAATTGTTTTAAAAAAGTATACAAATTGATGAAAACAGTTTGTTTCCTTCCTTTTGTGTAACACTTGCATGTTGCGCAGCGCGTTGTAAGGCGTCACAGCACGTTGCTATAGGAGGTGATCGCTTCATGAAAAAATTTCCCTATTTTTTAGTTTTCTAACTTGGGATCGCTGCAATTTGTGAATTAGGTCCGAAGTTTTAATATTTAGACTGCTGTACCAAATTTTTCAGCTGTATAAAAATGGATAACCACAAACATTTATTTAAATTGTTGAATTTTATGATCTTCTATTATTAAGTTAGATTAAAAAGTGTTTTTTGTCAATTTTCTCCCAGTTTCTTTCTTATTTCCGTATACTTTTACCTGTTACTCATAATTATATTTTATTTAAATAAGATTATTTAATTGTGTACAGTATGCACCACAAACCGTATGCATAAAAATTGGAGCAGTAGTCTTCAATGTGGAAGTTTGCTACAAACTAGTGTGGTTCCTTTTTTTCTTACAAACCCATGGGTGGTTTTTTGAGGGTTCATTTTTGTCCTTTTTTTTGCTGTAATTTCTCATGCTATTTAAATTTGATGAATAAAGGTTTTTGTATTTTGTATTGTAAAACACCTTTTTATACTTTATTTTGCTGTAATTTTTCATGCTATTTAAATTTGATGAATAAAAGATTTTTGTATTTTGTATTGTAAAACAACTTTTTATACTTTTTTTTACTGTAATTTCTTATCCTATTTAAATTTGATGAATAAAAGTTTTTTGTATTTTTTTATTGCAAAACATTGTGCATTTTAAATAAGTTATAAATTGAATGATACAGAGAAACAAGATAGGGTTTAAGGCTTAATTTGGTACAAATCATTAAATCCTACAAGATAGGCATAATTTAAGGTAAGGAAACAAAATGTAATGGTATTTATACATCTGTTATTTTGGAAATAAAATTTTTATAAGGACCTAAATAATTCACTTAAATATTTAGTAAACAATTCAAATACTGAAATGTCTGTCATTTATTTTTTTAGCTAACCAAATCCCAGATAGTATCGTTAATCATTGGAGGTAGTTAAGTTTGAATATAAGATTAAATAAATAATGGCATTAATCTATACAATGCACTGACAAAATGAGTATGCATAATGATAGAATCTTCTTTGAGAATTAAGTTTATTGATGATTAGCTTACTTATTTATTAATTATGAAATATTGATAAAAGGACTACATCAAGGGAATCGTGTGGTCAACTTTATTCCTACTGTCCATCCACACTGAATGAATATTTAACAATAAACCCATACATGTCCAGTAAGTCCTACTGGACCATGAAATTCAAAATAGATTTGTTCAAAATTTAATTGATCATAATTAATTTTTATGGTGCATTACGCACCATCTGAAAATATGCTTTACATTACACAAATTAATTGAAGAAATTTCTTTATTAAAGTATCCAAATATCGCATGCAACTGTGTGGTCAACTTTATTCCTACTGTCCATCCACACTGAATGAATATTTAACAATAAACCCATACATGTCCAGTAAGTCCTACTGGACCATGAAATTCAAAATAGATTTGTTCAAAATTTAATTGATCATAATTCATTTTTATGGTGCATTACGCACCATCTGAAAATATGCTTTACATTACACAAATTAATTGAAGAAATTTCTTTATTAAAGTATCCAAATATCACATGCAAGTTTAAAATTTTACTATAAATTTTTAAAAGAAAAAAAAGACTGTTCAATAGCACCAATAGTTTTAAATTAAAATCTTCCCATTTTTAAGCCCCAACATTAAGTGTCCTATATTACTAGCTTAGGTGGATAAACCAACTTTATTAAAAGCAGTGTCGTAAAAAAATAATACCGCCAACAATTCATTCAAAAAATGAAAACACCAGTAGTTCATCATATAATTTTTAAATGCATAATTTTTAAATTTTTATTAAAAACTGACCATCCCTTCTCCCTACCACTCAAGCTAAAGGATTATGCGACGAGAAAACTATAAGTAAAAGAGATCAGAAAAAAATATGTTACTAAATTAAGATATTGGTATTCTGTACAAGGTGGCCTACATACTATCACTTAAGATAATGAGAAACGAATCTATCCTTAACCCGATATTAGAATAAAGATTACTTCAAGTCCTTGGCATATATGCAACAAAACACACGACGCTGAAGAAGAACATGACGTAAATGGATGAATAACATAAAAAATGTCTTTGTATGAAGTATGGTAGAAAACATAAACTGCACATTAAGAACAAATACGGAAATATCTAATAGCTGATCTACTTTGGGTATACTGTAGGTAGGACACCGAGAGACAGCACGTTATTTAAACTGTGATCTTCTTGAAAAAGTGCTTATAAATGTGGCAAAGACAAACCAAACCAGTCACTCCTCTCAAAAACTGAGTTTTAGTTATTTAATACAGGGTTAAACAAAATTGAAACTAAAAGTTATAAAAAGGTAAAAGAATCATTTAAATCCGACATTTCGTTATGAAGTTACAAGAGTTTAAACATACAGATGTTTAAAGATAAGTACCAGTATTTGAGAAATCGGACTTCTAGTTTTTACAATTTTGGAAATTTCTAGCAATTAATGAAGAGGCAGCACTCGAGAACTAAATTTAAAGATGTTGTTTTATTGATACAAGCTTTCACTGGACAATTCTAAGTTAGAAACCATTACCCAATCGTTAAAAAATGTTCTTTTAACATTGAAAATGGGGAAAATACCAACATAGCATTAGGTGTAGATATAAAATGTAGTGTAGTGTGTGTGTGTGTCTTTTGGCCATTATTACCGAAACACGATTTGCGAGGAGTGAGTGGTTTGGCTCGTATTTGCCACAAAAGCTGTGCAATGTATATGATTCTAAATATTCAAAAGTAAACAAAATATTACTAAATATCAAATACAAAAATATTTTATAAAGTTACTTACAATATAGCCTCTTCCGGAGCTTGTGTGGGAGCTCTCCTACAAAAAAAAATAACAATGACAATAAGAATTAAATAATATAATATATTTAATAATATTTATTTGGCAATTTTCAATAGCAATTTTAGCCTGGAGTGAGAATAAGCACAAGCCCAAACAGATACTCTACTCACTCCACTCAGTTGAAAAACATGATAATTATCTGTGTGTCTGTATCATTCTTATAGAAAGAAACATTACTGGCTAGATGATATTTTATGCTCAATGTTGTCCACTGTATATAAAAAAAATATATCAGAATAATCTTTACCATTCAAGAAGAGATAATCAAAAAAGATTAATTCCTCTTTAATAAATTGCATTTGGTTGTTCAAAGGTTCAAGAAAGGTCATGTAAATCGATACGAACAAATTTGTAGATGTATTACACAAAATTACATGTGTTTATAGAATGGGATAGAGGCGCTCCAATGCAGATAAAGAATACACACCTTACTAACACACCACACTTTAGAAGATCTAACCATAATTCCTTACAATCATAATTGACACCTCAATACAAAAAAAATGATACGGGTAATAAATTTGAACCCTAATGTGTGACAATTTCCCTTGAAAACTTAATATGAAAACGGGATGAAGAACGTCCCCGGGGCACGACAAAAATCCCTTAAGCGCAGTGTTTATAGTTGCCAGGTAATTCAAGCCCGGAGGGTTAACGATGTATCTGTTATGGTTTCTTATCAAAAATGATAGGGAGCATAAGGTAATATGATCGATAACGTAATCATCGATGGCAATACAAATTAGAGCAATGTCTGATACTCATACTAGAATCTCAATTATGATAGATTAAGAAGAGTAATTCATATGCCAAAAGAAGACTCAAGAATGTATTTCTCAATTAAGAATATGGAATGGAAGAACGGTTAAAAAAAAAGCATGGTATGAGATAGGAGATAAAATCGCTGGGGAGGAAAAGCAAAGGAATAGTATGCAACATACAGAACTGAACTATCCTGATTATCTTAACATTAAAGATGTTTCTTCATATTATTAGTGTTAATATGAATTTAGATAAATTTACACAGAATTTTTGTGATGATTTGTGAGGATGTGCTGCAACCATAATTAAGTATTGGCAAATTAAAAAAAAATATATTGATAAGTAATACACACATAACATTTACACATTAGTGAGGACAGATGGTATACTATTACACTGAGGGCAGAGCCAGGGGGAAAATAAACAGTTACACAATAACAACAATATATGTTCCCAAATTAACCTGATTAATACATATCAGTTAAATTATATAGTATACACACGTTGCCCATTAAATATCATTAACGATAGTTATAAACTATTAATAACTATAACTGCCTCAGGATCATCTGTTCTCAAGGCCAGTAAGCATTTATTTTATTAGAACATCACATTTTCTGTATTTAAATTACATATCCTGGCCATTCGAAAATGCTAATCATTTCTCATCTGATAACAATGGGAGGACCATATCCTCTTCAATATACCATCAAAAAATTATATGTCTTCATCAGTAGCTTTCCTCCTCATAAATTGTTATTTGGAGGGATTTATTTTAAAGGTCACTTTATCAATATTCACATGCAACATTGAATATATTGAAAATAATATTCAAATACCATGTATGATCTTACCATGACAGTTATACACATAAAGATTTATTATGGTTCCCCTAGTTGCAAAAGAGGACCCTTTCAGATAGACGTTGGCGCAATATTGCGGTAAGCATGCCGACATAATAACCGGTCTATACCTTTCACACATTGCCTTTGCCCGACAAAAAAAGTGGGCATGGTCAGGCATCACTCAAATTCTTTTAAAAGTGTTTCAGGGGCAAAGCCCCCCAAAAATATGACAATTTAGGGGTTTCAAAGGTTTATTTAAACGATTTTGGAGTATACTAATACGTAGAAAATACATACTGTACATTCTTTTTTTCTCCCCGACGAATTGTGGGTTTTCTCTTCTCCTAGCACCCCCTCTGAATGAAATGTGATTATCTTAACCCCAATACAAATCTATACTCTTGCTCATTAAACAGCAATTTCTAAATGTATAGAAATATCTTCATACACCTTAGTAGGTCAATACCTCTCATAACTATGACAGATATCATTTTAAATGGCAATAATATAATGACTCAATTAAAACATTATCGTCATATAAATAAGAAAATAATTCCTTGATGGAAAAAGGATTATTTGATTCAAAACAGGATATGATAGGCAATAGTCACAAATTTTTTTATGGGAAAAACTGTTACGTTGATGCAAACATGATGATGCCTCTCATCATTGTCATTTTCTACAAAGTATGGTGCATGTTTTGAGAGAGCAGCTTAGCTCAGTCGGCTAATCTGGTGGTAGCCACTGTGTGTGCGCTGAATAGTGGAGATCTATAGGTCCCCGGTTCAATTCCCATCGCTGCCTCTCCTTGTATTTCAGCTGGAGGGCTGAAATACAAGTTATAATAGCGCACCGTCTTTCGGATGAGACGTTTAAGCCGTTGGTCACGTGTGCATTGATGGCCCATGTGCACATTAAAGAACGCAGTCACTCTTCCAAAAAGAGTAGGGGATTGTCTCCCGGTGTACTGCCCAATCACCACCAGAAGGACCCCACTGGAAATAAGTCTTCTTCTAGACTTTCGTAGGCTATCCTTTGTGTTTACACCGAATAAATCCAATCCAATACAATGTAGAAGGTTCCATGGAAGACTATGCATTGGAAATAGATCAGTAGGCAATACGGTACTACCACAGTAGGCCTACTTATACAACTGATTTTTTTTATACATGTGAAACATTGTACCATACTCATTTTCAAGCAAGTGACTTGCCCCTTACAGGGTGCAATGAATTGTGCTGCATTATAAATTTCTGTTAACACTCGACATTGTTTAGAAAAGTTAAGCTTGGATTCCATACAATCGCTACACAGTCGCTAGAATGTTTCCCTGCGTAGCTGTCCCAGATGCAATCGGGAAAGCTCCTTGATTCAACTGACCAATCAGCATCGCCAAAGGAGTCGACGATAGCATGTAGTGATTTTTATGGAAACCAGGCTTAACAATGTACAATTCTGTGATGCTCAATGAACTAAAGCTCAAAACTCTCTTTTTTTTAGTCAAACTAAATCATGTACATGATCAATCTGAGCAACTTCCCCCTCCCCAATGCGAATAAACCTTAAGGCTTAGGAAGTGGAGTGGAGTTTTGTTATGAGTTTGCAGGATTTGAGCCTAGAAGGCAAGCAACATAACCCATCTTGGATTTCTATACAAAATCTTAAGGAATAATCAACATGTTTAAAATAAGTTAAATAAACTATCAAAGTCAACATTTTCTCCTTTACCCTCATCTTTATCAATTAATTTTCATCAGATTTTTTTGTAGTTTGAAAAGAAGTTTAACTTACGTCACTCAACCGCGAATTTGGTCGATTTGGTCCGTTCTTTGCCACTGGTTCTGGCCTAGTATTCTCATCTGTCCCTCTGTTTACGCGGTGAGGAGAACGTGTCTGTCAATATAAAAGAGAAGCCAGTGAGCTTAAAGTTACATGACGATCGTGTTAATACAATAATTGTACAATAAAGTAAAAAAAGATTATATAGCATTTGGCATCAACATTTATATCAATAAAAGTTGAATGAGGTCATTGTAATAAAATTATATCTTTAATAATAACATTATTAAATACTGTACATGACCTAAAACATAAATATTAAAGCTTCTATAAATGTCATTTACATATTTGTCTGTAGTAGAGGTTTATCAAATCTAAATACAATCCCAAGTTATGAGGGTAGCTATCACAGGGGCTAGGAGGAGGAAAATATAGAACAATAAAAATGTAATTAATATAAATTGAATAATGAACTTAAAATACATATTTAAGAACAATATATTATTGACAGAAAGGCAAAAATATTTACATGTTCAAAACTATAATATAAAAATAAATATTTACATACTATAGATTGTTAAATTAAAGCAAGACAATTATTTTTTTTCTTTCAGTGGTTAAATTATTCATAACTTATAAAAAACAAAATAAAATATAAATTTATATAAATAATAGTACATATATAAATATAAACGTGTATTCCATTACAATAAAATGTAAAGAAAAATTCTTGGAATTGTTTGGATAGCAAATACGAAAATGATTAAATGCACGTAATGAAGCATTAAATTTCACATACTTCAAAGGAGATTTTAATATTGGTAGATATCAATATATTTTCCCTTCCCATACTTTGTTTCTTTATGAAATTATGTGGTTAAATTGACTTGTTTGTCGCATGATACAGTGATCCACGGCAATGGAACATAATCTGTAACTCCTTCTTAGAAATACTTTCGATATTAGCTACAGATTTTATATAATATGACTCAATAGGGTGTTGGTGATCATCGGGATTATGAGGATTATCAGGATTACCGTTAATCCAAAGAAATCCCTTGCTTTATTATAGTAACTGAAACGGAAACTCAATAACAACAAACATTCGCTACTGATACTCGTTTTTCATCTGCTCCATTATTCATTGCGAGGTCGTTGCAAATGGTAAAAAAAAAATATTCAATGCATCATTAAAAATAATTATATAAGAATAAAGAAACAATATTTCTTTATGTTATTTGTTGCACAAGCTTCTTCAGCTCACGTGTTCACAAAATTGTAAGGATTTTTCTCTCACTATGTTCTCAATAGATGGCGCTATATCTCCATTATTTTTTTTCCCATTATTTGACTATTTATGTGGGCACATAGGCCTAAGGATTGGCAATAGCGAACTTAATCACTGTCATATATATAGTAAGTGGTAATGCTTTTTACAACCATATCCACAACTATGATTACAATTTTACAGAACTAAATTACAGGAAGGGAGGGAACGATGGAGGAAAGTATAGAGGAAGCAGAATTCTATCAAGATTCTAATACATAAATTTAAGATTAAAAAAAATAGTCGCAGATAATATGGACAATGACAGGCATGAAACAAAACGCAGACTATAATTGTAAAGGACACAGAAACAGTTGTCAGATAGATAAATGTCTTTCTCTGTATACATATTCATTACAGTATTATAATACCCTCCTCACAATATACAGTACTGCATACAGTAGTAATAATATTTAGATCAATTTCACAGTAATGTACACTACTTGTTCTAATTCCATGATGCCGATATTGATGTCTTTAGGTAAAGCCACTTGATTAAGCTCCTGATTAAGTGAACATTAATTTATGGCAGGAGAATTGATGTCGAAAGTAACAAGTAACAGCTCGTTAGTAAAGTAATTACATTCAAATCAACAATTATTCAGATATTGTCAAGGTAATGGATGGATTGATGAACTTGCTGCAACGTTTTTAAATTGCCACATAACGTCATTAATCAATCGATACTTTACAAATTTGCATTCTACCTAAACAAATCATTTTAATACACAAAACATCAACTTCACCCAAAAATAGAAAAGAATTTTAAGTGGCTGTTTGTTCACCTTGTGAATAATTTACAGAGAGGGTTTGAGATAATAATTGGGTATCTTAGACAGGTACTTTATGAATATTCATGATTGAATGTCATGAATATTTATATGCTTCTTCTATGCTGATCCATGGTACATTTTATTTCAGTCATTTACGTCTTAAAATTTCAATTTAAATTTAGATAAAAATTGACGAATAAATTAAATATTATAGGATGTCACTCAGTTTATTAAAGCACATAACTAGAGAAAATTATGTATTAGCCAGACCATTGAAGAAACGCACTAACTAGCAAATATTGATATATATTATTAAGTTACGTTCTAAAAAAACGGCCGCAACTTTCAAGTTCAGGGACCCACATAAATCACTTGATATTTAGTTAGAACATCCACAATCGTATTCAATTGCTAATCATTTAACTTAAATCATTACTTTACGCAACAAAATCATTCTGTACAATCTACGCAACATTATACGAGAAAAAAAAAAGATTTAAATATCATCGCCGAAAGCATCTTTTAATGATAACAAAGTATTTTCAGGTTGATATTTAATATACCTGCTTACCATTAGCTAGAGGGATTTTAAGAATCTAAGTGTCATACTACCTTACGCCACTGAAGATGAGCAGTATGTAACAGATGGCCTATATTACCAAGTTATCAAATGTAGTTGGAAAATAAAACGAATGTAATGTGAGAACACTATGAAAAATGTTTCACTTTAAAGTGACAGTCCAACATTATTTCTGATAGATATGACCAAAAATAAAGAGTTTGTGTTGCTAAGTCTGACCAACTAAATAATCTTGAAAATAGTGTCAGCTTTTTTTCAGTTTCTGCAAAATTTGTTTCCAAAAAAGAAATAATTTCATAACTGACAACAAAAAATGCTAAAGGCGGGGGGAAGCAGGAAGTGTTGTCACCATTTGTGGCCACTTAACCTATCCCGGACTTCTCCCCACATGACTCGAGCAAACGAATGCATTTGCCCTCCCACAGATGAAGTGATAGAGGTACAGCTAGGGCTAGAAAGAGAAATTCAAGTCACTTAATTTTGTGAAACCAAAGTGTGTATGCACCTCAACTGCGATTACTTGTTGGCCTAAATGTTTTAGCTGGTTCCTCGGGTATAATTGCCACCTTGGGTAGCGTAATTCCACGCCATACTTTATGCCTAATTTTATGTACGAAAATTTTTTTCCTCGAGCTGAAGCTCAGGCCAGGGTAAGACTTTTACAAATATTCTCAGAAAAAATATAAAATATTAGCTTTGAATTAGGCATACAGTGTGACTTAATATTCTCTCAAAGTATGACTTATAAATATTCTCAAAGAAACATTAAAAATTAATATTGGCTTTGTGAATTTGGCATACAGTGCCAAAAAACGGCCCATTTGTGGGTATACAAGCCCACCCTAAAAAATTGGTTCAATTTTGTATTCAAGAGTGATGAGCTTATTATCAGAGGAACTACGGTAGTTATTAAATTTCTATTATTTTAATCGATTTTATATCAAATACAACAATAAAAAATCTCTAGAATATTATGGGCTGTTTTATAGTACATTAGAAACCATATGTCAATGCTGTATTCATCATTAGCCTTTAAATTAATGTATAATCACTTTATTTTGAAAGCTGTAATAAATGCTGGAGTACGAGACTTTCAGGAATTACAAGGTGACATTAATGTTAACACGTTGGCTGCCAGCAACAAGTATACTCGCCCAAAGTGTGTTGTTGCGGGTGCCAGGGACAAGTATACTCGTTAAAATTGGAGTAACATTCTAGCATTTATAACTTCTTTGATATAAATTGTAGAACCAAACTCAACGGCTGGCAGTTCGGGGAAGATACAACTAGACGATAACGTACAATATAATAATATGTATAATATATGTTTGTTGTGTTATGTTGCCAGTAGTAAGTTCAATTGTGAGTGCGCCCTTTGAATATATACCAACTTAGCAAAAAGCAGACAAGATAAACTCGCACTTGGCATAGTCGATAAAAAGTGCTATCACAGTGTTGACAACGAGTTTACTAGTCCCCTAATATTTTTGCACCAATTTCATTTCATTCATTCAATTAGACAAATCATTTTGATGATATATGACTAGATAAAATTTCAAAAATGTATGTTTGTACATGCACACGGGAAGGAACCTTAAAAAAAGGTCTGGTAGTCAACGTGTTTAAGCAGATGAAAAAATGCAGAACATCCGAAAAAAACAGACAGTTGAAAAACCATTAGATAAAACCATAAAAAAGTTTATGGTACTTTTTAACCATACTTCGAAGCTGTAAATGTCATTAGTTGTTAATTAATGTGTAATCAATTCAAAAAGTGTAAAAATACCTTATGCTGTAATAAATGTTATGGTTATGAGGATTAAATCATCAAACTTTCTGGAAATAAAATCATGATGTTTGTGAAGTAGCAGATGGAAAGACGCAGAACATGCGAAATCAAGTTATAATGAAACATAAACATCTGTTCTTTAATTAATATATTGCATTAAGTATCAAGCTAATTAGCTTCTATTTTGGTTGACTAATTATTCTATCAAAATGTTGCCCTTCATCTTGGTAAAAAAAATCAAATGTGAACTCAGTTTAATAGCCAATTACGGTATTTGTCATTTTACTATTACTAAAAGCTTATAAATGTCATCTACATTACTCTTAAACTGGGCAGTCACTGCACCCGATGGTTGCTGTCCGATGCGATTCTATGACAATCCCTCTAGACTGTCACCGCCAATCAGACGACGGTATTGCGTCGTCTATCGCTAACAGGGAGCTGAGTTGGATTTGTCGTACGACCGTCCTTGTATGACCGCCGTACGCACGTCCTTGTATGACCGTCGTGCGCCCGTCCTTGTATGACCGTCGTACAACAAAGTGCCTGGCTTGAGAATTGCACACACCTTTTACCACCCTACTAACTTTCATCAGCTCTAAAGCACACTGAAATATATTTTAAATATTGATGCGTTATACAAAA